TCCCGTATATACTCACACACTCGGGGGGCTCGGGCGGGCCGGGACAAAGCTGGATGAAGCCCTCACCCCATGGCAAGCCCTGGCCGCGGCTTTGCTGATCCGGGCTAACTCACGGCCAAGTTTTGGTTTTGCTTGAGTAAAAGCGGTGAAATGTGCGCACCGTTTGCCTGAGTTCACAGAAACAGCTTCCAAAGGAAAACAAGGAGAGGAGGGGATAAATTATTATTATTATTAAAATATCAAATCAGTTTCCTGAGGTCTCCTTTTCTAAAGGCATTTTATAAGAAATAAAAAAACCCCACCACCACCAACAAAATAGTGGGATCTCGTTTGAAAGTGTCCCCTTCAGCGACCGGAGGTGGAGAGAGGAGGGAGCGGGGTCTGCTTCTCCCGGAGAAGTGTCCCGAGGCCGGAGAGGAGGCCTCGGCCTCTGGTCCCGCTTTCCCGGGAGCAGCGGGGCCCCGGGCGGTGGCTTCTCCTCCGGTCTCCGCCGGCTCCGGGCGCCCATCGCCCGCCCCGGGGCTGCTCCCTGCCCGAGCCGGGACGGCGGGAGAGAAGCAGAGCGTGGGAAACCGATAAAGGGTCGTGATATATTTGGGGGGGGCTTCTGACAAATACTCTCAGTGCTTGCTGAATCCTGGGACTGCGTTACACGTTTTTGCAGTGTTTTTATTCAACATTTCTTGAATAATCCCCGGCTGTTTCGACGTCGGAGTGATACCGAGCGTAGCGTTTAAAGAGCGAGACGTGGTTAAGTGTTTTGGGTGCGGGGCTGTCTGTGGAAATGGGCAACTGGGGGTTTACCTGCCCAGGGCCGTGACATCGTGTCCCAACTTTGCCCACACAGCCACCGGGGACCGTGATGCGTGAGCCCACGGAAACTATTTGTAACGCCTCGGGTGGAGATGCCACGAACTATGTGTTCCAACTTCTGCACCGCCGTTTGCAGTGTTACTAAAGGCATGAAACAGAACAGAAACCAGCTCATTTCACTGGATGTTTAATGACCCACTCTTTTTTTTTGCACGGCTGTTTCCAAAATACATCGTTTAAAACCGCCTTAAACGGAAAGGATAACCCAGCCCTTTAATTTAAATCAAAGCTGAAAGAAAAGGGAAGCGGGGAAATCAGCCTAACCTGTGTCCTGCCTTGTTGGTGATGGCAGGCTGCCTCTGGGAGGGAAGGGGAAGGTATTTACAGAATAAAAAACCAAACACCAAAACCCACCGCAAACCCAAACACAACTGCCAGGAAGAAGGGAGAATATTTCTCCGTGGCAAGCCAACGCGACGTAAAGCAATACTTTTAATGTTTCTTATTTAGTCTGATCGACTTCTACGAATTCCCAGTTAAATCAGATGATCTGAGTAATTCTCCCCGGAGAGTAAAATTAGTGGTTGCGAATAAAATTAAATCGGATATTTTGACTTCGCTGCTGTATTAAATAAAGGTGTTATAACACCTAAATCACGAGGAGTGGGTGGCAGCTGCGCACACAGAAAGTCGGGCGCGAAAGCGTTCGTTTCGAAAAAAAAAAATTAAAAAATTGAAGAAGAAGGATGTAAGTGTAACAAAAATAATGAAAAGTTTGGGGGGCTCTGCAACTGTGCTTCTCGCAACCACAGAAGGAATGTGACAAAGGGGCAGCGGAGCATCAGCGGGCACCGCTTGTCCTGCGGCGGGGCTGCCCCGCGGCCTTCCGCGGCCCTTGCGCGGCCCTTGCGCGCTTCCCGGGTGGGTGCGGGCACGTTTAGAGCAAAGCCAGGGCTTTCTCTGCTGCCGGCTCGGGTGGGCAGGCGGTTGGCCCGGGGGCAGCCCCCCGCAGCCCACCCGGGGGAAGGTGTCGCAGCGTGTCACCGCGCGGGTGGGGACGCTGCCACCGGTCACCGGCCTGACGGTCCCCGCGACGGAGACGGAGTCACTGACACACGTAAGAAAGAACTTTAAAAAGCGCCGAGGAGGATGGAGGTCGCTGGTGGGAAACAGGGGGAGAGCCCCCGGGAAAGGAGACGGCGTTACTTCCCACCGAAGTGCTACCTCCTCCCCGGTACCGGCCAAGGTGACGTCAAACCCGGGCGGTTAATGCTAAAACAAAAGCTTGGGGGTTAATATACAGTTACCAGCCCCACAGCCTCCTCCTCCTCAAAAATCAGCCCCTCGGAGTTTATTGTCCCCGCGGGGAAGGCGCCTGTTGAACGCGCAGTCACGCAAGCAGCCGGCGGGAGGAAAAGGGAGGAAACTTCACTTTCTGGGGGGCGAAGGGCGGGCAGGGCGCTCCCGGGCTGCAGCGCAAGGAAAAGACGGAAAATCAGACTCACCTCGGGCTTCTCCTGCTGCAGCTGCGCCTGGAAAATTCACCTGCAGCTGTGGAGTGAGAGAGAGGGGGGGGGAAATGACGGGAGGGGGGGAGAAGGAGAAGAGAGGAGCGAGGGAAGGAAGAGAGAGAGGGGAAAGGAAGGATGGAAGGAAGGAAGGAAAAGGGAAGGAAAAAAAAGGGAAGGAAAAGGGAAGGAAAAGGGAAGGAAAAGGGAAGGAAAAGGGATGGAAGGAAAAGGGATGGACAGAAAAGGGAAGGAAAAGGGAAGGAGAGAGTCATCGTTACGCACTACTATAAAACAAAATCTCCAAGGGGAGGGGGGAGACCAGCAATTGAATTGTCACCTTCCATAGTATATTTTCCCCCACCCTTCTGACAAGTGACACCCAGGAGAAAAAAAAAAGTAATAATAGTAAAAAATAATAAAAGTAATAAAAAAATCAAACAGTTGGCAAGGCAAATACCGTTCCCACTGGATTTAAAAAAAAAAC